TGGACCTTCATGAAAGAACACTAATTTATGTTACAGCCAAACCTATTTCAACTCTTTCACATCCTCAATTTATAAGGTGTTCTTAAAACAAAACACTCAGAACATGCTTTCTTCTATATTTCAACTGAGACTAATGATTACAAATTACCTTTGAACCTAATCAAGTCACTTCAAATGGAGAAAAATTGTAGGTATGTCTGTAGGCTATTGCTATCTACGGCTTGATGAGCACTGCAAGTTGATTATTTGATAAAATATGTCATACAGTCACTTTTTCATCATTCGTGTTTTAAGTAAAATGTGTATGCAGTCAACTGGACAGATCATAACCTTTGGCAAATGTATGTACACCCTCAGACCCAACGCCCCTAGTAAAGATATGGGACCTTTGCATTACCCCAGAAAGTTCCCCCTCTGCCCAATTCCATTCAATTCTTATCCCCCATAGGCAACCACTGTTCTGATTTCTATCCCTAGAGATTAGTTTTTTCTCTTCTGGAACTTAATATAAATGCAGTCATACAGTATGAACTCTTTTGTGTCTGTCCTCTTTCTGAAACCATAATGTTGTTGAGATTCATCCATGCTGTTGCATGTACCAGTAGTTTGTTTCTTTATTGCCAAGCAGTATTCCATTGCTTGAATGAACCACAAATTGTTTACCCATTCTCCTGTTAATGGACGTTTAGGTTCTTCACAATTATGTGCTATTATGAATAAAGCTGTTACAAGATATTCCTGTACAAGTCTTTTTGTGGGCACATGTCTTATTTTCTCTTAGGTAAATACATAGGAGTGGAACTGCTGTGCCATGTGTTATTTGCTTATATATTCATTTTTTCCTGCAATCACTTTATCTACTGTTGATAATAGTAAGAGTTAAAGACATGACCAACATTTTTAACCTACAAAAATGTATAACCTAAGTATTTTTCCTGTAAGAAAATTATCAGACACTCCAAGAATATAACCAGACACTTTTATTTTATTTCAGTATAAATATATGTTAAAATTTCATTTGTTTTCCTAAAACCTGAGTTTTACCATAAGCCTAAAGTTATGAACCACAAATTCTCTAATATTGGGGATCCCTTAGAAATACAATTAAAATGGCTTCTAAAACTTATAAGAATTTTTAAACATCAGTTTGTGTGGAAAAATTTTACAAATTGTTAACTTGACAAAAAATGTTAAGTGTTTACATTAAAATACATGTTATTTCATTGAATGTTATGACAAAAGGAATTTGGAAGTTCTCAAAGAATGACTAAGGATTTTATTCTAAGTCTTTTTTACTATACAAATGTACTGCATAATCTACTTTTAAAACTATGTTTCAGAAAGCCTCCTGATTTCACCATATTTCTTGCTTATTGACATTCAACAATTAAGAACTAAAAATATTCATCCATGTTGTTTTATGTATTATTAGTTCATTTAGCATATACAAGGAGGTTAATCTGGGTTATATATTTTATCATTGTTTTCTATGTATTTAGAGTGAATTTGACCTACTTCAAAAATTCTACAATCCAGTTCTCACAAAAACACTCTCTGAAGAGACTTCCAGAATCACCAGGACACGACTTATGAATTAGGTTAGCTCAGGTAATTCATTAAGTGTTTTCTTTCAATCTACCTAATTTGCATTTCATTTTAGGTAATAAATATGATAGACATATGAAATGTAACCTAGAAACAATAGGCTAGAGAATTTATTCTCTAATTGTATTCCCATACACAAAGTATTTAAAATATCAAATATGATCAAGTATTATGTTTAGTACCTTTCAGAGTTGCAGTGTATCATTTTTCCTCCAAAATAGAAAATTGGCTGCTTTTCTAGTTTTTGTTACTTAGCCCCATATTTAGATAACATGTTACCAACTGAACCTCAATACTATAACAATAACAATGTAAGTTATTTGGAGGACATAAAAAGTTGATGGCCATTTATTATTTCCCCTGTCCATGGCAGGTGTAATAGCTACTCTATTATTCCATTACTACTGTAACAGAATGCAGTGACCTTTCATGAAGTTGCTTCAAGTACATTTGTCCTCAGTACTCTCAGCAGATATTTTAAGCAGTTGTTCTTACAATGATACTTAATTGAAGTGACGATTTTTTTACCCATGCAAAACTGGTAACATAAAAATTTTACATTCTTCCATCAAATAAAAAAGGTTATAAAGGCCGTGTTTCAGGTCATCAAAAATAATGTAAAGACCTAGTTTAGCATCTCACAGCTGGAAAGAATTTTAGTCTCTATCCAATATCTCCTTATCTAAGATAAGGAAAATGAGGCCTAAAACATTTCAATGAATTTTCTAAACCCACAACAGTTAACTGGGTTAGAAGGGTTAGGAGGATTAAAATTAAGACTAGAAGTAAGAATTCTACACCAAATGGAAATAACTTGACATCTACTTGCATGGGTTGGCTAGTAGATTACACTGCAGAACCAGGATTCTTCTACCTTTATGATGATTTTACTACTTTCCACAAAAGATGGGTAAGTTTAAGTCACCACCACTTTCTGATTGACTCATACGAAAGGTCTTCGAAAATTTCATGGAAGGATTCGTATTATCTTTTAATTCAATTTTACCATGTAGTTTTTGAAGTACCCTTGTAAATACACGATGACCAATCTTATCTGGTTCTTGTTGCATGGTATCACTGTAAAGAAAATTTTTATTTTAATTTCAGAATTTCCCTAAACTAAGTAACTGGAAGATTTCAATATGTCTTGAACATCGAGAAGAATGATTTAAGAAAGTAAGTTAAGGTAATTTGTGTGGTATTATTGAAAAAGTTAGAACAGCTTTTGAATAAATAAGGTGGATATGTACACTGCTGAAGAACTGAGCAAATGCCAGTGCCCAAGTTGAAGAGAAATACGCAAATTCACCTTTCTGTGACAGATGCGAAGAGAAGGAAGGGGAGAAAAAAGAAAATAGAAAAGAAGTCTCACAGAATATTTTCTCTCTCACCTTTGTTTGAAAATGGCAGGAGGAAAATGTTAAGAAATCACAATGAAATGAGCCAAACTACAAAATAGGAAACAAAAAATGAGGAGTATTTTGACACAACCCACTCAGACCAGCAGGGTCCAGAAAGTCTTTGTTGCCACAAGGCAGCTGGTATCTGAGGATACAAAACCCTTTTCATTTCAGTGTCACATTAAATCCTGGGGCATAAAACCAAAGGCAGACTACAGAGCCTCTGGTTCTCCAAGAAAAGACTATATGGCTCACAACTAAACCCAAATGCCAACTAAGGTTCCTATTGAAATGAAAAAATAACTAGCAAAATAATTAGAAAATATGTCTAAAATCAATTTTTAAACTATTCTTTCTGAAAGAAAGAGATCTGATTTGATGTTTAGTTGATGTGATAGGTTGTATATTACAGAATATGCTCTTTGAAAAAACTATATTATGTTTCAGTATCTGTAGGGGAAATCAGCATAATCATAGGAAAAAAAGGGAGCCTCATTTCCTTTTCACATTTGGATAAAAAGTGGTATCCTGATACCTGCAAATCAAATAAATTATAAAATTAGTGATAATTAGGTTAATATAAAGTACATCTGCTATAACATCCAATTGGATTGTGTGAAGTAACACACAACACCTATCACAATATTAGACATTATACTAGGGATAATTTCAATAATTATTTTTTATAACCATTACTGCAAACACCTGCAAACTAATGATTACCCCAACACTAATTCTACCTCTCTAAAGGATAAGGTAAAATAAATCCTGATTTCCATGTTCAAGAAACTAATCTTACAATGATTTTTCTTTTTGATCTCTATTGACATTCTCAAGAATTTAAAATTCTAAACTAATTAAATCCCTTTCCTCATTCTGATGCACACAGAGCAAAAAAAAAAAAAAAAAGAAAGAAAGAAAGAAAGAAAAATACTAAAGGTGCCCAGAGAATATTATTACTTACATAACTTACTTATCATCTAGCTTGAAATATTCGGCGTAAAAGCCATCTGATCTGTCCTTGGTCCAGCCTCCTGGCCTTAGAGCTGTTCTCAACTCCTCCTACCCTCAGCACCTCAGGATTGACAGATACACTTTCTGGAAATGCCCTAAAGGCAAGGCATTTTTCTTAGTCCACAGTTTTCTCTCGGATTCTTTTAAAGCTCATTATATGCACGATTTACATTTCCCCAATATGTATGTTAAATCAGAATTAAATACAGATTTATTAAGGAATTAATATGTGAAAGGCAAATGTTGTGACCTCAGGTCTGTGATTAACCCTCACACAAATTCTGAAAAATTTTAATTGGCTCTCTTCTGATGTATATTTCCTGAAATACTTCTTTTTTTTTTTTTTTTTTTTTTCTTTTGTCTTTTTCCGTGTCCGGCAACAGGATCGCAACCCTCGGTGTTGCCCCCGCGCCTCGCTCAGCCAGTGAGCAGGAACCGGTCTGTATGTGGGATCCGGACCCTCGGGCGGGAGCGCCGCCGCGCTTCCCAAGCGGCGCACTTATCCAGTGCACCACCGGGCCAGCCCTTTCCTGAAATACTTCTAAGTGTGTCTTTAAATGCATTTAAAAAATTTGTCAGAGTATGACAGTTCCTACTTAAGTACTATGTTCTTGTGAATTCAGTTTTCAAAATATGAAATGAGAAAAATTTCATTTATTCCCATTTCAAATGGATCTAGAAAAAAATTTTAACCATCTGAACATACTATTAGAGAATCATCAGGTTTCACTAGATGCTCATACAAATATTTACTAATTATATACCTCATATTTTTATTCATACTCCAAAAAAGAAAATGTCTGACATGAATCTGCTGCCAATTAAATTAAACCTACATGGACAACTTGTCTCACACTCACTTGCACTCAGGCACACGCCATCTGTGCACACACACAGAAAAAGATGAGACCACAAACAGTACAGTTGTGATTTGTTTTAAATCAAGTGTACTCTTTAGCTCAGCTGCCAACTTGGCCTTACCTGCAGCCATAACTTGTTATGCACAGCATCTCTCCCTGTAGCAATACACTGAAACGTAGCATTCTGCCCTGCATTGACCTCTACATCCCCCAGACGGAGGAAATGAGGAGATTTATCTGTGATGGGAGAAAAAAAAATTTTTTTTCAGATGAAGAAAACATGCCATGGTGCTTTTCTCCAACAGAATACTGTCGTTAATATTTTTACCTTTGGCCAAGACTAATATCATACAGAAGAAAATTGAGTTTTCTCCGTGCTGGAAGACACCATTTCCTCTCTCACTGTCACAGTTCTATTTTTCTCAGTAGCTCTGTTACTTATTGCCCCATAATTGCTAGAGTATTGTTCTATGCAGAGTGAGCATTCAACAATTACTGCTGAATGACTGCCATAGCATGTTGCATATGGGTGATAATAAAACAGTTACAAGTTAAAGCAAGCAAAAGAGAATAAATAGGCACAAATCAAGGCATAATATAAAAATATAATGAAAACATGTAATGATTTCTAAAATACTGGCAGTTACATGGCCATTGAACTATTAAGCTACAATTTAAGCAGTTAGATCTTTTTATCTTTGTAAAACTTCAATAACCCACTAGTACTTCAAAAACAAGGAAATATTTTTGTTTCTCTCAAATAGAATACCAACTAAACTGTTGTTAAATACACTTCCTATTCCTTTATAGCTGTAGGAAAGTTACCCAAAAGAAATATTAGACTAATAAAATGTGATGACTACAGTCAAAATATGCATGAGTTACATGACTGTCAAACAAGTATTCTCTGCAATTACCTCTTAAAACTGAAGACTCATGTATGTTTTCCATTGAAAGGAAATATAAACAGCAAAAGCTAAGCTTCAGGGAGTAAAAGAAAAGCTCATGAAGGACCATATCACACTGAAACTGCTGCTGTTGTGCTCAATTCACAATTTTCTATTTACTTATGAAAGCCTTTAATAACATCTATCATTTTAGAAGTGAAGATGAACAGTACATGGAAACACAGTCCTCTTATACTATGAATTAAAAGAACCTAGTAAACCAACTCGAACTTCAAGTGCAGTGATTTTGTTCTTTCTTAGAATATACCACAATTTGACCCTTGCCTGCTACATCTTTCTCTAGTGCCTTTCCTCAGTAGGACTTAGAAAAAGGAATGCTTGAGCTAGAACATGAACTAGAACAGTGGTTCTCAAATTATGAGCTCTAGACCAAGGACAGCAACATATACAAATCGTTTAGAAATGCAAATTCCCAGGGGCCGGCCCGGTGGTGCACTGGATAAGTGCGCCGCTTGGGAAGCGCGGCGGTGCTCCCGCCCGAGGGTTCGGATCCCACATACAGACCGGTTCCCGCTCACTGGCTGAGCGAGGCGCGGGAGCAGCACCAAGGGTTGCGATCCTGTTGCCGGTCCCCGGTCCGGTACGGGGGCAACACTGAGGGTTGCGATCCGTTGCCGGACACGGAAAAAGACAAAAGACAAAAAAAAAAAAAGAAAGAAAGAAAGAAATGCAAATTCCCAGGCCCCACCCCAGACCAACTGAATCAGAAACAGAGGAGCGGCCAAGTACTCTGATTTACCACACCCTGTAGGTGACTGATTCACACTAGAGTTTGACAACCATTAAGCAGCGCATAAGAATTAGTCCCTCCCACAGTGAACCTTGTGCATGCTGCTTACAATATGTTAGATAAATTTCTACCAGGGAGGATTAATGAATAGATAATCCAGAATTCATGAGCACTATACAATGCTGCTGTTGGGAAATATAGGTAAAATCTGAATTTCTGCCAGTTGTTTTTTGCCTGGCTTTATTGAATGCACCCAATAACTGCCTTTCAGGGAATGTGATGTAGACACAAATTTAACTAAGCCATCTGAAAACCAAACAATGTGCATTCTAAGGGCATTACAAAATTATTTATCAGTAAGTGGAGTTTCTTATTTTGTTTGCTTTTTATTTTTTTAATACAGATTAATCATGTATTTATTATGAGATCAAAATAAATAATTCTATATTTGGACTAAGGTGAATTAATTCATTCAATCATTTCACCCCAACTCTCAACTTAGCAGATCAAATTACTTAGTGAGGCTTCTTTTTATTTTCCTCTCTGTTGAAGTCTAATTTTTATTCTTCTTTGCTTTCCTAGAAAATTTAATACTAAAAAGAGGGTCAAGTCCCATTGAGAGTTGCTTTATGTTTATATTTTGTTCTTGGTAATTAAATAATTTAAAGGAATCCTTTGATATGTGCACAATTAGTCACAAGTCTGAAAAATATTTGGTTCAAAACTCTAAAAATATTTCAGTGTTCCTTTAAAACTGAACAGAAAGCTAGGTGTAACAAGAAAAGAGATAGCAATGACCAAGTGATAAACAATCAACAGTCCCTGCCAATATAAGACAAGTGTTGAAAGGACTTAGAAAAATACAATTCTTAATCACAACCTACCACAAGGATAACTCAGTACTTGGATGTCATCAATGGCAATATAACCACTTCTCCCTCCTGAGACTTCAGCTTCAAATATTACCTGTCAGGAAGAAATAAAAAACATTTACAGCAATCGTTTTTAAGGAATGTCCACAGTGGAAAGAGAATAGTTACAATACACTTAAAAGTAAATTTGAAATTTGTTCTATGATAATTAAAAGTTTCTTATAACAGAGTAATTTTCTAAACCTTGTACAGTTAATAGTGAAATTACTGAAGTCAAGCAGTTCAAATTTTTTAAGCAGCTATTATCAACTATCGTTAGATTACCTGAATAGGCAATATATAGGCAGAATGACAAGATATAGTAGATCTGATATCTCTAAAAGTAAACTGTCTCCTATTGACTTTCTCCATTTTTGTTATTTATATAATATACACTGAGTACTTAACTATGTTCCAAGTAGTATGCTAACCACTGAAATTATCAAAAGAATAAAGAATTAACCTAAAATTTTAAATAGCTGAATTTTCAAGGATGGAGGCCAACAGATAAATTATTGGTATTCCAGGCAAATGAACAATACACAACGAAATAGAGTAGTGATGCATGTTTGGGGAACTAAATGAATGTAATCAGTATAGCTACAAAAGCTCAAAAAGGAAGAAATGAGATTCGAGAGGTAGGCATGCAAGGCATTGAATACCATGGGAATGAGATCAGGATATATCCTGTCAATAGTTCCACATCAACAAACGTCAAGGAGTAAAGTTTCCATGTTCAAATATATGCTCATGTTATAAAGTTTTGCTGTTATAGTCAATAGCAAAATTTTGTATGGCCTGTCTCTTAATTACATGTGCTATGACTTTCCAAGAGAAAACAGATTTAGCATTCAGCATTTCATTGTGGTTTTGACTCCTTTATTCACATTGATACATAAATTATTTTTTCAGAATTTTGCAAGGCATAGGAAACATAATGAAAGTTGATGTTTAAAGAAAATAACATAAACAAGTTGGTCTAATGGAAACTTACTTGGCTATAAGGTGGAAAATGTTTGAAAGAAATAGACAGGTAATATGCTAGTAGCAGTAGGATTGATGAGATGAGAAAAGAAAAATAATGCTAAGGAATAGAAAAGGTAGAACTTATTGTCACGTTAGTTATGGTGAAATATATGAAAACTCAATGATTTCTAGCTTGGGCTAGCAAGTAAAAGTTGCTTGCAGGATCCCTAGCCAGGACAACTCATACAGAAAAAGATACAAATTTGAGAGAGGAGATAACTAAGTACTTTTCAGACACTACAGATTTGATTCGTCTATGACACATACAAGGAAAAATGCTTAGGAGACAACTAGATAGATAGTACTGGAAGAGAAGAGATGAGACTAAAAGGTACAGATTTGAAAGTGAGCATTATGGAAGGAAGGAAGCTGTCAACTTAAAAATTAAGGTGACAGGTGAGTAAGATGGTATAGGAAGATAAAGTAAGAAGAGAAAAAAACTACTGCGCATGGAAGGCCAAGAGTGAAAAGACAGACAGCAGAAGTAAAGACAACGAAGTATGATTAAGACCTACTGAATAAGGAAGGAACAGAAGTACCAGCATGCTTCAGGCAGGTCCACACTTCAACCAGAAGGATTAGAAAAGGCCAGATAAATTAAAATAAGTATAATTTAAAGACGTCAGATATCTTCATAAACAACATCATCTAGATGAACACAAATCTTAGAAGGAGAGAGCCTCTCTGATGTTATCTGATTATCTGCAGCCACTTTCTCCTTTCCCATGGGAATATCTGCCAATCCTGGGATCAGGTTTTGTGGTTCTACCTCAGCATGGCCTGAGGACCCCTGATGGGAGAAAGTGAAAACAGTGAAGCTTCTTACAGTTGTATGGAAATAGAGCAATCACCCGGAAATTTGGTAGGCTGAATAAAAAATGAAGCCATAGCAAATGATACCAAATGTAGGAGAGAGGTCAAGATCAAGAGAAACTGCAATTGAAGAGTATCTGTTGAAGTTAGCCATCAGTACTCTAGAAACCTCTCCCAGGACACTTTTACTATAGTGGAGGAGCAAAGCTTGATTGACTGGGCTGATACTAACAATTATTGAGAACTTACTGTATACAAGAGACTGTCCTAACCGAGCATGCACATTTACGCTTGCTTCTGTGCTGTTTCTCTATACACATACGTACACACACATTTAATCGTCACAACAATCATAAGATAGGTATAATTTAATTCGCATTTTAAAGACAGTTAAATAACTAGACCAAGACCTAACAGCTAACAAGTGGTGAAGCCAGAGGTGGCCCAAGCCATCCGCCTCCAGACTGCCTTTCAACAACTTCACTTCACTGCCCTTCAGGATAAAGAAACTGACACAGTGAAAGTATTTCATTTAAACAGACTTCAAGCTTTAAGTTTCCCATAACAATCTAAAATTTTAAATAAATTTTAAATTTAGAAAATGTCATATTTTAAATAGCACACTGATTAGTTATGATATTGACTAAACCACAGTATCATTAGCATTAAACCTTCCCCATTCTCCTACAACCATCCATAGTCAATAGCAATGGGACAAAGTAGGGCAGTAAAGATGGTTAATTTTCCTTCCATCCATTCCCATCATAAACGTTCTCCTGGGTTACTTCTCTTCCACTTAAAGTTTGCCCTTTGTGACTATTGATTTTACTGGAAGAAGTTGAAGCTGAGAAGTAGAATGGGGTCTTTGAGGGAAGAAAAATGCTTCCTGCTGGAAGGATGGCTAACACAGAAATGTGTGTGTGCATACAAATATGATTTACATTTCATATCAATGTATTTGGTATGAACACAACGGCCATGTCACTTTCTACCTATTGGAACAAGGGCTTAGCAAGAAATGGCCAACAGAATAAAAAACTTTAAATGATGTATAACTTGAGGCAATTGTGATATAGGCTACTTCTTGGGGATGAAAAACCTACATTTGACTTCAAGCTCTCCTTTTGATATGGACAAGCCCGGAAAAACTGAAACCTGCACCTGTACTTCTGCTGTTTGTTTTGCGCCTGTACTTTTTGCTTTTGTAACACTGACCACCTTTTGTATCAGCTTAGCCCCTGCTGTGTGGATTCTGAGAAAACGAAACCTAAAATCCTGGAAGAATGTGATCTATATAATCTTTTGCAAGCCTGGAGTCAGGGCCCAGACTTTAGAATGTGAACTCCTCTGGGCCCGCCAGTGTAATAAATATTTGAGTTTCTCCAACCATCCGAGTGACGCTTGGTTTCTCGGCAGTCTGTCCTGTAACACTGTTTCCAACTTCTTCAGCAAATCACATAGATTTGAAATTTCAGACTTTTAGAGCCAAGTCCCAACTCCATAGTATGGATATAATACAGATTTTATTATGTTCTATGAGGATTAAATAGTAGCATATATAAAAGTGCTATATAAACCAAACAATATGGTTATCAGTAATGTTAATATGTGGTTTGTTTAACTGTATACTAGGAAAATAACTTTCATTTGCTAGAATAGTGGTTCAAGGAAAGGAAAGGTATAGAAAGAAAAAGAAAACTATTTTTAAAAAATTACATTCTAGTGAATAAACCACACATCTGTATAACTGTATAACAACTCATCATCAGTTGTTTTGTTGTTGTCAGCATTTGTTACATTCTTTCAACTTCTAGACTTATCTGAGTTTTACTTCCTTGAATTAACTTCCTTCACTTGATATAGGCGATAAGTTTAAACGAGATTACCGAGAAGTTCCTTATTTCATCATTTAAACTGAGCTTTATTCAGGACAATTAATTTAGGCCTTGATTTAGAAGGAGGCAAAATGACTGGTTCTTTATTAAAGAAAAGAAAATGTTTTTCCTTTTAGTGACCCCATTTTTCCCTGCTAAGTGTTGTCTTTGCCTCATTAATGAGAGCTGGAGGAAATTTTTAAGACCAAATTCCTTTACTGCTAAAGATCTAATCAGCTTTATCACTTCAGAGCCCTCATGTTGGACAGCTCTTCTGTCCAGTCAGTGGAAACAAATTTCAGTGGCTTAATTACGCAAAGCTTGCTTGGGCTAATGCTGAGGTTAGATCTAATGTTTGGTGTCAATAGTCAACTAGGAATTCCCAGAAGAAGACAGCAGCGGAGGCCACCCGAGATGTCAACATTAACCCATCCAGGAGGCCGGCCTGGGAAAAGAAGGGATGGGCTTGACTTTTCATGCTGTTTTTATTCCACCCCATTACCTGAAATACTGACGGTGATGGTTCTAATCAAATTTTTGCTACTCCAGCAACATTCTTGGGTTGTTAACTAAATAAGTATGGTAAAGTTAAATTAAGTAGAGGAAGAAAAAATGGCAAACCCTAAAGAACAAGCACAACTTTATACTCTGCAGACTGACTTAATTCACAGGAAGTGTTTCATTTAATGGAAAGCTGAACCGGAAGACAGGAATCCAGTTGTTGGTCTGCTATCACATATAACCCAAGCAATTTATTTAACCTGTGGCTTTGTAGCCTCATCTGAACAATACTGCCCTTGCCTATATCACAGGTTTGTTCTGAATGGTATATGTGAAACAAATAATATATGAAATACCTTGTAATACAAGATATTACGGATACTAGAATAATCTGAAAAAATTTTGCCCTTAATTTGCTTTCAATACATTATAGTGATGACAGTCCAGGATGCAAAATTAGATATACACTTAGTTCACACTCCTTAACTGTGACTTTAAGTTATGTAAAGAGTTATGTAATTACTTATGTAACTGTAACTTATGTAAAATTTAAATCACGGTTTTCTTTTCTATAAAAGAAACTATTAATATCCACCTCAGGTCTTTAGGGAGGATTAAATGAGATAATGCACATGAAATATTTAGCACAGCTCCTGGCGCACAGTAAGTATTCAGTTAAGTGGCACCACTGCCACCATGGGAAGAAAATATCCACAAAAGACCCATGCACTAAAATTAAATTTCTTCCCATTCCCTTCTCCTGCTCATAAAAAACCTACTCCCCTCCCCTCCAACAAATCAATTTGGAAAAACATGGAATACACTGGTATTTTATTCCCAT